ATTATGAAGAGAAAATTGCTGACGTGTGTCTCTTTATAACTTTGGTTGCGACACACACAAAAAAATCTAGCGTGTTATTTCAATAAATTTGAAGAGTTTCGCTAGATGATAATTACTTCGTCATTTAGTTAATCAGATAATTTAGTGTTAAGAACTGAGTTGAAAACGTAAATTAGCCACCGTAAAGGGTAAAAAAGCTGACGTTTCGAGCGTTAGCCCTTCGTCAGAGCGATTGACGAAGGGCTAACGCTCGAAACGTCAGCTTTTTTACCCTTTACGGTGGCTAATTTACGTTTTCAACTCAGTTCTTAACACTAAATTACCTGCTATAGTCTCCCACCGACCCAGCACCACAGTTTCTTTAGAAACTGACCTCTTTATTCATTTAACTAATCAGTTGAGTATGATTTAAGCCTTTCATGTATGAATTCGAATTCCGAAGTTATTTAGGTTTAAACTGGCGGGATGAGTTTCCGACTTCTGACAGCCTCGTCTAACTTCTTTAGGTGGATGTGCTTACTTTGAGTACTGACCTTGCTTTGGACCTGCACGAAAGTTCATGTTTTGGCTAACGCAATCAGAGGTTGATTCTGTTGAGCCGGCGTAAACATTGTGATTAAATACTTTGTTGTTCATTTCGAAAGTCTCGTGAAATTTTTTAGTCTAGTGTTCTAAGAAAAAATGTTCAATCTCCCAGGGTCAGCTGGCATACCCGACCATATCTGTCAGTAGTGACTATTAAAGCTTGTTCTTTCTAGCTTACTTAGGAGAGTAGAGAGAAGAGAGAGGAAAGCTGACTGGAAGAATGTAGACAGTCTGCAAAATAGTAGAGTAAAACTTGCTTGGTTGAAGAAGAAGTGAGTGTCAAGATGTGAGAGCCGTAGAGATTAACAAAAGGGTCACACAGAATGAAATAAGCTTGAATGTTAGTAGAATTGTGTATTAGATCCAGAGAACTGAGTAATTGAAGTGCCTATGACACGAATTTTCAACAAACTCTATTGAGAGTTGTGATACATCGTATTCAAGTGGTAGATAAGAAATGGAAGTTGCGAGTACGAAGATTTCGACGAAAACCGACAAAGACGGTTTCTCGCCTGCGGTGTTCAGGTCAAGATTAGAACAAAAAATTCCATAGCATTTTATTCCTTCGCGCTCGGTCATTTCTCTAGAGTTTCGTTGCTGTAGGGAAATTCCTTTAATAAACCAAAAGCTAACTTTTGACGAAATAGTTAGCCGTATCTCGAGGCACCCAAAGTTTTCACCGAGAAGTCATCGAGTAGTTTCACTGCTAGTCGCTTCTTTCCTCAGAGATTGCAAAGGCAGAGGCTATTCTGGCGATCATCGAGCCGGCCGAACCAAACTGAAAACAAGTGAGTTTATAGTCATCTGATTCAAGTTAATATCAAATAGGGATTGTTGAAAATCTATCAAAACATGTTTTATTTCAATCTGTCAAACGAGGAAGCGCCTTCACAGTTGGCTTTCTCTCCCAGCGGAGATAAAACCAGTTACTCTCGATTAATAT